TATCTGGTTACTGAATATAATTATTTTCAGATTGCTGGGAAGATACACCTACTGTTTCCTGATTCCCAGGGCCCCTGAAGGCCGAGAAATGGATACACGACAACACTACTCAGAATTCAATACGCCCGATATTGTCTTGGAAATCTCATTACATGGTGACCAGCAAATCTCGATTGGCAATTTCCGGATTTTAAATTTAGCATAAAACCAAATGCGATTGAGCCGAAGAGATCACTGTATCATTACTAGAATCAAGATCTTAAATTTTGTTCTACATTCAAAGTTTTCAAAATTTGTCTTTGAAAATTCTCTCAAAACTTTACAGAATGTTATTTGATTGTTTGCAAGCATTTCCTTTAAAATCATTTCTTGCACAGATTTATTATCAGAATTTATTTGAGATACTTTCCCTTGAAAAGGGTCTACATTTTATTTAAAAAAAATGTAGTTCCAGAAAAAGATGGTTGTAGATAAAAATTTACTTAGAAAGATTTGTTGGGAACTAATTAGACTAGGTATATGAAAAAAATATATACTGAAAAAAAATGTCAAAAATCAAAGATAAACCTAAAAATTCAAACAATCAAAAAACCCTACTATCATTTTTTTAATAAAAACTTGAAGAGAAAGCGAACATTTTGGAAACAACTCCAGAATGGAGCAATTTTTTAAAATAGCCTCAAAATTCTCTGTATAGTTCTTCAAAGTGCCTATAGCCTGAAAATCTACTCCAGTCCGAAGGCTTCGAAATTTCCCAGTGCATAGTGGGCCAGGAATGAAATCTAGGAGGAAAAAATAAATAGCGCTCTGGGATTGCATCCAATTGAGATGACGTCTACAGCAAAGTTGCTTGGCATTGTTTGGATTATAATTTGATTGATAAAAATAATTCAAGTTTTCACCGTAAAGATGGCGCCGCGATATCAACTTTTTTATTTCACACGCTAGAGACCACTGCATTCGACAAAGTTATAGAACATAAAATTTTGTGAATAGTTGCCGAAAACATAAAATCTGTACATTTTCAAACAACAGACATATATGATGTTTTATAAAGTATATCAGAAATTCGTGTGTGATAGAAAAAAAAGTTGGTATCACTGCGCCAAATTTGCGGCAAAAATTTGAACTATTTTTATCCACTAAATTATAGTCCAAACTATGTCAAGAAACTTTGCTGAAGTCGTCATCTAAATTGGAAGCAATCTCAGAGCGTTATTATTGTTTTCCTGATAACTCAAAGTTTCCCTTTTTTTCTGTGGTAAAAATAATACTTTTAATTTGGTTTAATACAGTAGTTTTTTTAAAGGCACCCATCGCTGTTGCTTGGTTATCCTTCAACATATTGTAGTGATTTATTGTACTGAGAACCACCATTTCAGCTAGCCCCATTGTACTAATTTCGATTTGCCCAATAGGATTTATAAATATGGGGCAAGTCGAAATCCCGAGCAGGAACGAATATCTCGATACTTTAATTGGCATGGTATTATTCTTTGGTATTTTACCTCTTATGTCATGCTGATCAATACCAAATTTTGGTATCAGATCAAAATTAGGTATTCATTAGTTATTTTCTCCTGTTTGGGAATGCTTGAGGATATTTTTTGTAACTTCATTTGTAAACGGATGCATAAAATTCAACTTTTTTAGAAAATTTATGCAACGCGTAAAAAAATGTGTGTTGTAAATCTATAAATTCTATAAAAATGAGTTTCTGTCCTGTCTGACCTTTATAGACTCGGAAACTACTGAACCGATCGGTGTGAAAAATTGTATGTAGGGGTTTTTGGGGCCGGGAAAGGATCTTATGATGGTTCGAGACCCCTCCCCCATATGTAAGGGGGGGGGGCTCCCATATAAATGAAACAGAAAAATATAGCATGCTTTTTTGAATCGGCGCATAAACTCAAGCTAGTATTGAATCCCGAGCAAGGTCGGGCACACTCAGCTAGTTTCATATAAAATGAAAATTAACAGCTGAGGACGTTACCCTGTTTATAACTACCCGATTTGACAGTCATAGGATGCGTTGAAGTTTATATTATACTGTTAAAAATCATCACAGTGATAACTCACTTTCGCATATAGGCTTCCGTTTCAACTTACCCCGCGTTTCAACTAGCTCCGGTGTACCTTAATCTCTAATCTAATCTAACTAGCCCCGGTGTGCCTTACTTCCAATAAATCTCCGAGAGCGTTCCTAGGAAATTTTGTAGAGTATTCCAAGGGAATTTGAGAAGGATATTAAGGGAATACTGAGGACAGTTTCAAGAGAATTTACATGATATACTGAGGAGAATTCCATGATTATCCTCAAGGCTACACCAAGAAAATTCTGAGTAATATTCCAAGAGAATTATGGAGTAAAAGCGAATTCTTGCGTGAATAATTTAGAATTGGAAGAGAATTGTAGAGTGAGTTTCAACACTTTTTAAAAAGAATTGCTCAAGCAATAGGTATGAAGAAGATGTTACGGTGATTCCTTGATGGCCGTCATAATGCTTATCACTTCAAGATTTCTAAAGCATAAATCTTGGACACTGTTTAGACATTGCTCATGAAATTGGAACTCACTGTTTGCAACACCAGTTTCATTGTTGTATGTTTTGTGAGAGCTGATATTTATGCTTCAGTTGATTTTTTTTTCATATGCCTGTTGTATTAGGGTCTGGTGGGGCAAAAGTGCCACGTTGACAATTGCACGTTCTATATATGCCAAACAGTAGGATATTTATAGGAATTTTTACACCGTATTGTAAGTTCATAAAATTGGTTTCATAAGTCAGCAATGTAATCCAAATTAAATTTAGTCATAAATAGTTTGCGATTTTTTTCAAAATTTACTCTCAATTATTGCAACTGCCATAGGGCAAAAGTGCCAACCCCTATGGGGCAAAAGGGCCATCCTTTTAAAATGGAGTGAAATAGATAACTTCTTGTTTATAAACATAGCCTTTTTGTTCCTTCATTAACGTCGGTCTGTGTTTCGCAATCTAGCGCCAATCACCGACGGAAATCGATTGCCATCCATTAACGGCAATCGAATGTGCAGGAAGGCAGCTTCCACACCTGCGTAGGATATCGCACCCATTCAACACCATGGGCCGGGACCAACGGATCTACTTCCCTTCCGAAGGAAGACGTGACCAGAGATTTTTATGCCCCAGAAAAATCCTACCGACCTCGGCTGGGATTAAACCCAGACCCATTAGGGTGAGAAAGTAGTCACGCTTACCACTACACCACCAGTGCCGTCTACATAGCGCTTTTGATTATTAATCATGCTGGCAACAGCTGTTATTGTTTACTCAATTTAACTATTGTATTTTACCATATTTTTCAATACAAAACAAACAAACCATGTTTACCCATGAAATCAAATGAAAACTATTGTCGATGCAATTTTATGCAGCTGGTTTTGTCAAATTTGGTGACAAACTTACCGAAGACTTAAATGCACAATTAAGCAATTTCTTTGAATTTATGAATAATTTTCCCCGTGGAGGTTCATTTTTAAGAAGGTAATTTTTGAAAAATTAAAGAAAATATTATTACATTTGTTATTAATGTTTTAATTAATTATTAATAGTGTTACGTAAGGATTTTTTAGGAAATTTGAAAATCCTTATTTTATGATGTCTGATTATTGTAAATACTTTCGATTTTCGACTCATCAGCACAAAATCATTAGTGCAAAATTTGTCATAATACTGCATAGGAACACCATTCATAGTTTAAGAGGTGAGCTAGCATTGCAAATGTGTATATTTTCAAAATTATTGGGAGTGGCACTCTGCCACACCTGACCATTCTGTGACTTGATAGATTTTAATCTTGGAATATTTTCGATAGAAAAAAGAATGAGACTTGATTCTGAGACATTGGAAATCTCCAAAATGTATCGAATTATTGAGATTGCGTTCAAATTCAAATGTTTGAATCTTCGAAATTTTAAGGATTTAGATAAAGTAAAAAATACATCCTAGGATCAGTTCAAATTTATTATTTAAAACGTGAAGAAATATTGGGGATATATGAAAGACCCGATTTTGTCAGTCCCTCCACGTCGACTTTTATCTTTCAATATTTTCACATAATCGTAATTCCAAATCTTTCTTATTCATCTTCAAGATGGATAGTTAAGGTATAATTTGGTAGGTACAATAAGACCACTGAAAAAGCGCATGAATTTCGTAGAACATTAGAAAAGATTTCAAAAAATAGGACTGACAAAATCGGTTCATAACTGTATTTGGTGATTTGGAAATCTGGCATTTGATTTTTTAGTTTTTCATTTAAAAAAGGGGCAATCTCAAAGATTGCCAAGGGCGCAAAAAAAATCCACTACGACGCTGTATCACACAATCCTCTCATTTTGACTTGTAATATTATGAAGTTACCAAAAATAAATTTATTTGAAGCTTCACCTTAACAAACTGTGAAAAAATGCTCGAGAATTAGAATTGCTTATTTGAAGGCACACAAGCCTAGACAACAGTATACGCTTAGCAATGTTTTTTTGTGTACACTAATATGAATCAGATTCTTCCCTCAATTCTTTATAGTGAATTGTAAAAAATAAGCGTATCAAACAGGTCTATCTTACTAAGTGCGACCATGTTCTTTACTAATAAATATTGATCCAATGTACAGATGAACCATGAAATATTACGGTTTATGAACATGAACGGTTGTGTGTAAGGGGAAATATTTACAAACGTCATTACAGCGCTAAGTCAATTTTTCATACCTTTTTTTTTTGGAGCCGCCATCCTCGGGGGCCTCTTTTGCTTATACACCATAGAAGAAAACAAACTTGTGCAAACATGTTCCGAAAAAGTTAAATTCTAACCATGAAAATAGAAACGCTATAAGCAAATCAGTCTAACACGCAAACAGATCAACGAAAGATAGAAATTTGAAAATTTTGTGAAATTAAGAAAAACCGAAACTGCTAACAGTAATCGTCACTATTTCGGCCGTACTCCCACACTTACCTCGTTCTTCCGCTTTGGAGTCGTTGTTGGTTTTTTCCTTGGCTTGTCTTATCCGAGCCGGAACCAGAGGTTCCTGCATCGACGACAGTGTTGGCACTCCTTTACTTCGATGGACCACGAAGCCTAAAAAGTAGAAAACAAACATCATTAGGATGGACTTTAAACGAATGAGTGCGACTACTGGTATTACCTTCATCATGATCCTGATGGTACGGTTGATGTGACTGCGGTTGATGCTGTGAAAACTGAGGTTGCTGTTGATCGTGCATATCCCTGGTGGAGACATGCTTCCTTAGGGTACTCGCAGAAGGTGAACGGGTCACTGTGTCAGAACCAAAAGAAAAACGGTAGGGAGAGGAAAACAAAATCGATATGCGGATTAGCAATTGCTGCTCGAGAAAATGAAATTCAAAATTTAAATGTAAAACAACATAAAATAAATAGAAAATAAAACAACCAAACCAAAGGCGAGTGCGGTATTTCAAGAGGCAAAAGAGACGACTCAGGCACACAAGACATCGAGCGGTACACGCCAAAAGCGAAATGATTTACAACAGCCAAGCAAAGTTGGGACGACAGACAGCTTCTCCCCGAAAACAATATTTTAAGCATGCAATCCTAAGGCCCACGAAGCTTTCTCTCCGGCTGGCTGTCGGCTCCGACTACAACTCTCGATAGGTAGGGAAGGGTTTGGATTGCAGCACATGCTCCAGTGCCACCGCTGCAGGTGGCTCGCGATGGAAAACACTGATTACACAGCAACTTAATTTGAAATCAAATCGAAACCTACATTTCCAGCCCGGCGGTGAAGGTAAGCTTTTCGCTTTACAATTTGCACTTTTTGGCGCTCTGTCGCCACCAGCCAAAAAAAAAACATTTTTGTGTGGAGGAACATGATGAATGAGACCGGACGAAATTTGCGAAAAACAAAGGAATTTATAATGATTTCCATTGGTGTTGTATGCAGTTTAGTTTGCAGCGAAAGCGAGCGTTGCACAGTGGGGTGACTCCTTGCAAAAGTTGGACAAAATTTTGACATACCAACAAGACCAACAAGCGTATCTTTCGGTTAATTTCAAGACTAAGAACCATTTTAAGACAAATTGGCCAAATTCGGAAATGGGACCGGAACATGAGAAGGAAGTGGCTAAAATCCATTTCGATAGAAAAAAAAATATATTTTCATAAATCATATCGTCCGGCCATTTTCCACAGAGATGGCGCTGTTCCGCTGGTAGGAAGTGATAAAAATCCCCATATAGAATTTGAGAGAAATGGAAATAATTCGCTTTCGGTGCATATTTAGGTCAAAACAAGTGAACGACAACCTAAATAAATTAGCCAGGGACTTTGCGTTTAGTTTTTTTTTCCGGAAAGTATTGTTAAACAAGCTAAAATTTAATAAAAATGATTTTCCGCGTACAGTTTTACCTGCTTTACTACCATTCCCCAGAGAACCGAAAAATTCAAATTTGAGTGAGAAAATTCTCTCTCACGAGCTCAATCTCTCAACATGCCATGTATTCTGATGACACTCGATTGGTGATTTCCCTTTCACAGATTACAAAATAGAGTACCAGTCACTACAAAACAAAATATGTCTGGTACATCTATATATGCATTTAGTTTAACATTTGAAGCCCCTCCTTTTTTACAAATTCTGCACAAAAGATATTTTCTGCCCCGCCCCATACATAAAAATCGGCCGGAAATTCTGTGAGGGGTGAGCTATTTTGAAAACATATTGTTCGTAGTTTTCGATAGATGTCACCACAAACAACAGCAGTGACATCTGATGGAACATGAATGCAGAAGCTTGACAAAATGATTAATTGAAGAATTTTTTTTGCGATCGATTTTAGTGTCCATTGTGTTCAATATCAGAAAAGTTATTATTTTTGATAAGCTTTCAAATAAACATGTGTTTTAAAATCTTAAAATGTGCTCTTTTGCTATTGAATTTTTAAGCAGTTTTTTTTTCATTTCTGGACCATAATTTGTGATTTTTTTTTGCAGACGTCTTTGTAAAATAACAAAGGACTAAAAAACCGACTAATAGTTAGTTAGTGATTAATAGTTGATTACCATTGATTATTCATGATTACTTGTGATTATTCTGATTACCTTCATTACTTAACTTATGATGGCATGATTACTTTGCGAAATCAAAAGCAATCTTATATTACTCGTCACTCGTCGTTGCTAGCAACACGGATTACTTGTCACGGATAAATTAATCTGAATACTATTTTATTTAAAAGATTATTCTGATTGTCAAGATTACTAATAATTACTAGTTGATTAGCATTAATTATTTATGATTACTTGTGATTACTTATGATTACATCTGATTTTTATAAATACCATGATTACTTTTCGCAATCAAAAGTAGTCTTAGATTACTCGTCACTTCAAAACTTGTTGGAATCCCCTTGCATGGAATCGCTTTGGTTCATTACATATTATTAGAAGCAGGTATTCCATGATATAAACCCCTCATGATTGTAAAATAATAGGTTAGGGATTGGCTGTTCAGTCTTGAGATGGATCAAAAATGTGTTATGTTATCTTCATTCAAACATTTCGAATATGTATGAAACTTACGACAGTATTAGTATAGACTTAACCAAAAATGAACCGGTGATAAGCAACGCTTCTACGAATTTTGGACGTTACTAAATTAAATTATTGTTCACACCCGAGGCTCGTCCCACATCTCATCATCACCTCGAAAGCGATAACGCCAAACAAACTGATGAAAACAATGGCCAATCTTACGCAAGCAGGCGAACCAAGTGCACCAGCGAGATAAATTCACCTTATCACGCTCAGATCCCAGACAATTGTGCTTGCCAAAATTTCGTCCAAATAGAAAATAAATTAACTGTACGCATTGTTTTTGCTGTTAACCGTTGAGACCAGGCTGAACATTGCAATGATGGTTCACAATGTATAACAAGATTGCACCGCGCTGATGAAAAATGTATAACCCATTTCATCACCGAAACTCCCGAAACCGCAACATCATAAAGACTACATCTTAATTGTTTTCACCTAATCTCATCCAGCGAGTGTCAATTATGACAACAACAACAAAGCGCCAATGGAATGCAACCGATGATAATTTCCTGAAAAAGTGAAACACATTTCTCATCCTCATTGCAGACTGGCACCCACTTGACACTGCCGTAGGCTCTCCTAGGCATTGGCTCCACCGGCAACTGATGTGGCGAACCGACCGGCGCCGATGGAAACTTATTGCCACTCGATTTTCAGGTTAGCAATGCTATGCGCCCAGCGAAGGCTTGTTTCCAGTCCTACTTTGTGTAAACGCGAGCAAAATCTCTTGAGATGATGACCGGGAAAAAGGAGGTTAACCCGAGAGAGATGAACGAAGGCACAAAGATGAAGCTAAGGATGCTCAAATGGTGCTTTTTGAGTGCATTGTGCTGTCCTAAACAAAAGCTGAGTGTGTAGATTCCATACTACACTTTCAATAATTTTATATTTTCCATAGAACAGTGCACAGTTCCTCATTTCATACGACTAGAAGGTCACAAATGCCTTACCAAATTGATTTCCTATGCAAGTGATCAATCTGCTATGTGAATTTCACGAATAATCACGAGGAGCATTTCTTGTAGCAAAACTTGTCAAACGTCAACAAACTAACACTTCTTCTTCCAGTGTCATATGTGTATTAAGTGCCTTGGGTGGAGACCACCCGTGTAGTTCTGGTACACTTGAATCTTTCTCCTCCCATCCACCAGACGTTTCCTTAACGTTCAGCAGCTCGACAACTGGGTGGTCTGTCGTTTGACTATTCCCGTAGGCCACGACGAATTCAGTGTGGCTTTTATAACAGCAAACCGTTGTGCTTGTCTCCTTTGATAACAACTACTAGGTCTTCAAAGGTCCAATCGGTGCGTCGTGATAGCGTAGCTCCAAAACTTCCAGAAGAAGTCGGATGTTGGAAGAGGCCTCTGAAGGAAGGTGGACACAATTACAGTAAAAGCCCGAAAAAATTACAAAAAACATCACGTTTCCTGATTCCCAGGAATCTGTTTAAATTTTCCACAAAATAGTACATTTTTTACCGAAGATATGCTAAGCTTATATTTGCACCAAAATTTTACCACACCACCACCCAGGAAACAGTTCCCCTGGAATTTACTCAAACTCCCCTCTTTCAATGAGTACGTTTAAAAAACATTCAGGGGATGTTGGAAAACACATCCGAAGTATAAGAGGGCGGACCCGGCGTAATGGTTACCATCCATGCCTCTCACGCTAAACGTGACGAGTTCAAATTTCATCCCCGGAAGAGTTACGGAAGAGTTACGAATGACCTAAAAATGTGTTAAAATTACTATAATACAAACATAACACATCCGGAGTAAGTCAGAAGACACACCCGGAAGGGATTGCACGAAATTTCCGGAGAAAATAGGGAAAAAATGAACGGGGAAATTTAAAAAAAAAATCCTCAGTTAAATTAAGAAGAAATTTCCTGGAAAGTTTTAATATATTCCGGGGAATGTCAGAATCGGAAAAATCTTCTAGGAGAAGTCAGAAGAATCTTCGGAGGGAAAATTTCTGGGGGAGGCCAGAAAAAACTTCATGAGCATGTCGATAGAAATTACTTAGAAACGTTGACATTCCAGTAGAACCCACAAAAAGTTTCCGGAGAAAACAGATGAAATTTCCTAGAAAATTAGGAAGAGATTTTTGGAACACGGAAAAATTTCCGGATCAAAATAATCTTATAACGGTAGTCGTAAAAAAAATCCAGTAGAGGTCGGAAGAAACTTCGACAGTTTGTAAAAAATCCGATGGATGCCTAGATATTAAAGTTTGAAAAAAAAAACAATTTATTCCCTTTCCAATATTCCTGGATAACAATATTTTTTCGATTCCCGTGAAGAAACATCATCTGTTTCTCGATTCCGGGGTAGTAAAAAATGATCGGGAATCGGAAACACGAGTTCCAGGAAAAGCCAGACGAACTTCTGACGGGAGTCAAAAGAAAGTTCTAAGAGCATTTGGAAGAATATTTCAGGGGAGGTCGAAAAAAAAAACTTTCTGGAAAAAACAGAAGACAATCCCAGGGGAAGAAAGAAATACCTTGGTTAGGAACTTCTCTCAAGAGAAGCGGGATAATTTTTCTGGAGAATTTTGAATCAATCATTCGGGGGAGAGTTGAAATGTTCCGGAAAAAAACAAGCGGAAGAAGTAGCCAAAAATATCCTGGGAATTTGGAAGTTAATTCCAGTGGAAGTCAGAAGAACTGAGGAACTTCCAGGAGAAATCGAAAACAAAGTT